CTAGGAAGAACAGTTTAGAACTGATAGAGCTATCCAGTATAAATAAAGTTAGTTTAGTTTAGGATTCCTTCTGTAGTAACACTGGAGCTAGCCAGCTCCGTTAACATTATCACATGGACTGTCCTTAAAATTTATACCATTTTCAATATTCTCCGTTTTGTAGGACATCGAATTCATTGAATTCGAGTTGGCAGAACAACAAAGCAATAAGAGATTATCCTTACTGGATCTCTAGGAAGAATAGTTTAGAACTGATAGAGCTATCCAGTATAAATAAAGTTAGTTTAGGATTCCTTCTGTAGTAACACTGGAGCTAGCCAGCTCCGTTAACATTATCACATGGACTGTCCTTAAAATTTATACCATTTTCAATATTCTCCGTTTTGTAGGACATCGAATTCATTGAATTCGAGTTGGCAGAACAACAAAGCGAAGACCTTCCAGAGACAGTGACGTTTGAAGAATGGAAGACGGAAATATCTCATATGGATGATTGGTTCACGTCGATGGATGAGAAATGTAATCACGTGAACATATCACGTGACAGTGACAGTTTAAAGAAGGGAGAACAAGACACCAAGGTTTTGAAAATTTCTTGAAATAACGGATTGATTCGGTTGAGTTTATAATGGTCCTTTGCTTGCATACAACCTCGTATCTAACTAATTTAGAAGTAAAAAGTACTCTGGGTATTTGTAATATGTAAATGCTTAGATTTTCTCTGACAAATGTTTTTCATAATTGTTTTGTTTTTCGGAAATACCGCATAACTTTATTTGAGGTTACGGATACAGTCGGATAGATTCATGTATTGATGATTCTCATTTCTTTATGCAGACAATACTGACGGAGTTCCACAATGAAGGTAAACCGAGCTTCAACAAGATCATAGTCCTGGGACGGAGATTGATCGATACTAATTCCCATACCCCTGAAGACGAGCAGGAGATTACCATCACTATTACGAAGTTCACCAAACGGATGATTGAAATGGAGCGAACTGTTGAGCTACATCGAATAAGGTTCGTAATTTACCCATGACATCATCACCTTAGTAAATATACATGAACTTGTGGTTAGAGCTTGACAACTGGACTCTGTAGCTCAGTTGGTTAGAGCGCTGCACCGAATTGGATAATCCAAGTGAGCATATATGTATACACAATTTCAAGACCTAACTAGGTACGGTTGCAAAAAATGCAAAAACCAAAAATGCAACAAAGATAAAACCTCATTAGATTCAGGTCATTGAGAGGAAGATTTTGATATATGTTACACGTCTGTAGATTGTATGATTGTGCTGATCATTTTATTTAGGACGATGGAGACAATCGTGGATTACTGTAAAGAAAGGTTGGATCATTGTGAATCATCTGTAGAACGAGACGACATTAACATGAATCAACTCGCACCATCTGGTTCAACTCCTGAAGCCGTTCATAAACAAATTGTCCTCTTGAAGGTTCGTCTCGAGTTTCAATTACATGATAGAGATATCTAATATAAATAAAGGTAGTTTAGTTAGGTTTCCTCTTGTAGTAACACTGGATCAATAAGAGATGATCCTTACTGGACCTCTAGGAAGAACAGTTTAGAACTGATAGAGATATCCAGTATAAATAAAGTTAGTTTAGTTTAGGTTTCCTCCTGTAGTAACACTGGATCAATAAGGGATAACCCTTACAGGACCTCTAGGAAGAAAAGTTTAGAACTGATAGAGCTATCCAGTATAAATAATGTTAGTTTAGTTTAGGTTCCCTCCTGTAGTAACACTGGATCAATAAGAGATGATCCTTACAGGACCTCTAGGAAGAACAGTTTAGAACTGATAGAACTATCCAGTATAAATAAAGTTAGTTTAGTTTAGGTTTCCTCCTGTAGCAACACTGGATCAATAAGAGATGACCCTTACTGGACCTCTAGGAAGAACAGTTTAGAACTGATAGAG